TCTTTCATATTGCCACACTTGGTAACCGTTTTATAAAAGCAATAGCTCACTTCAGGCCGTGGTATATGCTCATTATATCACAGCTAAGGGGCGTAGTTCGGCCCGACAACCCCCTTAGTTAAATATATTAGTGTTTTGGAATTTTTAAAAAACAGAATGAGGAACTGGGATGCTGTTTTTTTATTTTTGTACTTCATTTTCAGACCAAATGATACATAGACATTATAAACTTGATCGATAAAATAGATAATTGTGAGTTGCAGCCCTTCATCAACACAACGTCTTACCTGTAACTTTTGATTTCTTGTTGATGCCATTTTCACATCCAGCCTGTGGGGAAAAGGAAGGCAACTTAATATATGAGAATGAATGAAATCTAACCGTTATTTGAGTCAGTTTCAGTTTGTTTAGTATAATAACGAGTAAGAATAGGCTTGTTTACCGGAACACCGTTGCTGGCCTTGCTTTTCTTCTTGGGCGAGTTCTCGTCGGTCAGATCGATGACTCCCTCCTCTCCCTCGCCTCCCTCAGAGTCTGATAAAACGATCACAGAGCTCCTCACCTGCTCTCCGTTGTCCCTCTCTGCCTCCTGACGCAGAGTCTCTTTGAGTTCCTGCAGCCTCTGAAGGGCCCCCTGCAGCTCGGGGGTCTCCAGGGCCTCTTTAGCGCGGCCCTGCCAGGTGATGGTCCTCTCGGTGAGGCACTGCAGGGCCTCTCCCTCCGGCAGGCGCACCGGCAGCCTCTGCAGCGCCACCAGCAGCGCCAGGATGGTCTCCAGACGGGGCCGCCGCGACCTCTGGCACCGCGGACACAAGAAGCGCGAGTCCCAGTCCCACCAGCAGAGGGCGCTCTCCTGGGGCCCGGAGGAGGGGAACAGGGAGGGGAAGGAGACGCAGCCCCCGTGGAACCAGTCCTTACAGAGGTGGCATCGCAGCTGAGGAGCCCGAGGCTGAGCTGAGCACACACACACCGCCTGAGGAGGGGGTGTGTGGTTCCCGTTCTCTGATAAAGAGTTCTCCGAGTGGCTGGATGTGTCCGTCTCCATGGCGTTGTCCATGTCCCACCTCCCGTTCTCCTTCTCCTCAGAGCCGCTGCTGCTGTTGCTCCCCCCCGCCGAGTTTAGTCCAGATTTACACATGTTCCCTTTCTGTAGCCTCAGCAGCGCCTCCTTCTCCTGCTGCTCGCCCTCTTTGAACGCCATCACCTGGAGACGAGACACACACATTTTACACACAGAAATAATATGTATTTAAGAGCACAGAAATGTATCTATAGCCGCTTTCACACCGCAGTACTTTTCCCACTTTGGTTCAGATATAGTTCCGAAATGTCGCGTTCACACCAAAAAGAGCCGGAACTAAAACTTAGATCATCAGAACCTTTTTACCCCCTTCTCCGTCCCTGCTAGAGAGCAGGGACTTTCGTGGGAGAAAAAGGTTCCCATGTCTGATTGGCTGGGCGGATTGCAAACCACGCCCCGTAAAACTCCCAAAAGGTTTTGTGAAGCCGCCATTTTATTATTCTCGCATTAGCATTATTAGCATTAGCCCCGCACACCAACGCAGAGAGACTAACTTATGCAAAACAAAAGAAAACATGGGAGCGGTGGAGATGAGGAGGTGTCGGCGTTCTGGCGATTTACTCGGAAGGCTTCAGTAGAAGCTGTTGGGAGTCCCAGCAGCTTCTACT